GTAGATCCCTGCTACCTTTTTGAACTAACCCGATTTCGCTCAAAACTGTTTGCGTTCATTGTCTGTTCAGCCCTTTTCGAGGGCATTCATCGCAGATTTTTGGATCGAATGTCATTTTTCGGCTTGGATTGGTTACTGGGTAAATTCCAGCTCTTTTCAAGTATGGTGCTTTACCGCACGTGTAGATTTTCCGGAGATAATTTTGGGTTTTATGATTGAAATGTTAGTCGTTCTTGAGTAAGCTTATGTGTTATAATTGTCGAACACTTGTGGATGATCAGCTGATCGACTCGAAATATTTTAACAGTGTAGTAACATTAAACGTTTCAACAAAAAATAACATTGTCATGACAGCAAAGAAAAAGTTCCTCAAAAACTTCAAAAGTATCTCTCCTTCCTCCATATTTTTTCTCCTCCATCAATGTCTCCATTTTCTTTCTCCAAAACCTGGATCTCCAAATCCTAGAAGTAACACGTTAGGCACACCGATTAAACTACTAATTATTTTTCAAAAAGCGTGCCATCACAGGGAAGATAATTAAATCTTCCAGGTCCATGGAACTCAGGGATCGTTCGATCCGCGACGTCGAAATATTAATTTGCCCGCAAGCGTCAAGTTTTTGCATAGTAATAGGTGGGACAGGTGGTGGACGAGGTCGCAGAGAACCGATAACGACGGTTGTATTCGGCTGGGATGTGCCATCGAGGTCGAAAGGCCGGTTAAAGGGCAACCAGAGACAGAGGTCGACCTCGCTCGTCATTGTCGGACAAGCTTTGATCTACGAGAGCCATCCGGTTGCGGCCACGCGTATCTCCGTACGCGTAATTAGCTGGGAAACGCTCGTCTCGCGATTGAATAAAGAAAAATTTACCGCGTCAATTGGCGTTCCTATAACCGATCGGAGGAACGCGCACTCCGATTCGCTCGGAGTAGCAGGCTATCGGTTCGCTTTGAGAGGCAAAGCGAAATGAAAAGTCGCATTCCTCTGCAAAATTAATTTTTCTTCGCGGAAGAAGGGATGACTCCCTGTGATTTCGCTGGCGAGTGCGTCAGACATTATTGTCACATTTCAGAGATTATTGTTGTAGTGTTAAAGACAGAGACATGTTAACGTTAAGGACACTTTAGACATTACCGGTTGGAATTAAAATTAATTTGGAAATTTGATCGAGTTGAAAATATGAGTCACATTTGTCACATGTGCGTCATGAGTGCGTCACGGATATTTCATGCCTCCATTGAGAATGCGTTATGAGTGCGTCATGAGTGCGTCATGGATATTTCATGCCTCC